GCCGACCTGCAGCCGGTGCTGGAGCTGGACCTGCGGGGCTGCCGCGTCACCTACAAGGACAAGCGAGGCAAGAAGATGCCCCACGCCCTGAAGGTGACAGGCACAGCAGGAGAGGTGCTGGTCATCGGCTTCCAGAGCCGGCAGCAGGCTGAGGACTGGAGGAAGGTTTGGAGGTGTTGCAGCCGGGCAGGAGCGGGGTGGGCAGGGAGAAACGGGGGCACGGCCCTGCTGGAGTGCTCCCGGGGGGGGCTGGGGGTGATCCTGTCTGCTCCCAGCTCCCATCCCGGGGGTGTTGGAGCCCTGTTAGACGGGGAGCAGGAGCCCGGGGTGCAGCGCTCCCCGTTTCCCTCGGCAGGTGATCGAGGAGGTCAGCAGCGATGCCCCTGGGGGGCTGGCAGCCCTCAGTGCCCCGGCGTCCCCTTCCTCGAGGCTCAGCAGGGTGAGCTTGTCCAGGGAGACCCGGGCACAGGAGAGGGCCAGGAGCACACCCGATTCCACGTCCTGGTGGCCCTGCTGGGTGACACCGGAAAAGGGCTGGCGTGGGGAGGGGGTCAGGGTGCGGGAGGGGGGGTGTGACACCCGCAGAGCCGGGGCTCTCTGCACCCCCATTCTCAGCCTGCCCGCCCCCAGCTCGGCAGGGAGGAAGAGGAGGAGGAGAATCGCTCCCGGCAGAGCCCCGCCCGCAGCCCGCGGCCCGGCGAGGACGCCAAAGGAGGTGGGGGGTGCGTGGGGAGGGGGCAAAGGGGGTCCCGCCCCCCTCGCACCGCCTCTGACGGGGGTCTCCCGGCCCGCAGGGTTCCTGGCGGTGCGGCTGCGGGGCCGCTGGCAGCGGCTGTGGTGCGCCGTGCGCCAGGGAGCCCTGCGGATGTTCCCGGAGCCCGGCCCTGCCCAGCGCCCCGTCTGCGCCCTGCGCCTGGACGGCTGCGAGGTCTCCCCCGGGGCGGCCGCGGGATCCCCCCAGAACCTGCGCATCCGCATCGCCCAGCGGGGCCGGGAGCTCGCCCTGCTGCAGGTGAGGGGCGGCCACGGTGCCCCCCACGTCCTTCCCTCCAAGGGGGGCACACGCTGAGCCTGGACCCCCCCCTGCCCCACGCCAGGCCCGGTCGGATGAGGAGAGGGAAGCCTGGCTGAAGACCCTGCGGGCCAGGGGAGGAGGGGAGCCGGCGGGTGACGGACCCCACAGCAAGCCCCCCCGGCCTGGCGATGCCAGCAGCCGCCCTGCTGCCAGGTGAGGAGCTTCTGGACGAGGCAGGGCCACCCCCAGCCCTCCTGCTGCTCTGCGGGCTGTGGGAGCTAACGGGCCCTCTCTGCTGCTCGCAGCGGGCTGATGCTGCGCCGTGTGCCCACCCCCAACACCTACATGGATGACCCCTTTGGGCAGCCCCCGCCAGCCGAGACCTCCAAGCACCTCTACTCCAACGCAGAGCGGCTGCAGCAGCTGGTAACCTGCTCATGCCACCCCCGGGGTGGGGGGGCGGGCTCCCACCCTCCTCTTGCCCGCGGGATTCTCCCGGATTTCCTTCCACAGCAGCAGAGCTTGGACCGGGCGGTGCAAGGGCAGCGCAGGAGACCCGTGTCTGCACTGCCCACCTGTGCCAGCAGCAACGCCCTGGGCGGTGCCCGGCCCTCACAGGCAGGTGAGAGGGGCTGGGTGCTCCTCCCAAGAGTGCAGCAGGGTCCCCCCATGCACCCCAATGCCGGGGGCTGGGGTGGGGGCTGTGGTGCCTGTGAACGTGGTGTTGTGCCATGATTTCCCTGTCCTTAATCCCGTGCATCCTTCCCCTTCCCTTCCTCCCCAGCATCCTCCTTCTTTCATTCCTCCCCAGCATCCTTCCCAGAATCCTTCCTCTTCCCATCCTCCCCAGCATCCTTCCTTTTCCCATCCTCCCCAGCATCCTTTCCCTGGCCTTCCTCACCGGAATCCTTCCCCTTTCTCTTCCTCCTGAGCATCCTTCCTCTTCCTTTCCTCCCCAGCACCCCCACCAGCTCCCCGGGGCAGGGCTCCCAGCCCACAGCAGCCAAAGGAGACCCCCAACCTCCGGAGCAGGGATCTTTCCCGATCCCAGCACACCCTGACACTGCCCGAGAGGAAAGGGACTCGGGATGGGCTGGACATCCTCATCGGTAGGGTCACAGAGGGGCTCTGCCCCGGTGCCAGGGGCTGCCTGGTCCTTGCTGGAGCAACTGGCAGGGTCGAGGCGTGCCCGGGCTTGGCAGTGCTCCCGCTGTCCTTGCAGGGAAAAGAGCCTTTCCCAAGCTGGAGGAGAAGGTGGGACAGCTGGAGAGGGCCTGCCGTGTGAAGGGCAGGCTGAAAGCCGGCTCCGAGATGAACCTCCTGGCCATCGGGAAGTCACTGAAGGGCCACATCGCTGCCACCGCCAGCTCGGCCGGCTCCGAGGTGGGGGACACGGGGTGCAGGGAGAGCGAAGGGTTTGGAGGGTTTGCCTCACTCTTTCTCTGCTGTTTTCCCACCAGGGATCATTCCTCAGGCCGCTGCTGAAACGCACCACGTCGGCGAGGAGCGCCCTGAAACCGCCCCCGTCGCCCGTCATCGTGGAGAAGGGGAACGTGAGGCAGAAGAGGAAGGTACCCCCGGGATCCAGGCGGGGTGGGAAGGGCTCAGGTGATCCCACATTGTGGGGAGACGGGGGATTGACCATTCCTGGGCCGCCCTCCAGGAGTGGGAGATGAAGTCTGCGATGTGACCGCCCGCCTGCAGACGGACCTGCTGGAGCAGGAGCCTCCCGGCTGCGCGTGGATCGTGCAGGACCGGCCTGGATTCAGCCTGGAATCTGATTTTTATCCGTCCAGTATCAACGCTACCACTACGCACATCTATTTTTTATATATAGATATATAGATATATCCATATCAAACTCTCCCTGGGTGGGTTTCCAGCCTCTCCCCGCTGCATTCCTGCCCGTCCCAGCGCCTCATTTTTGGGGTACAGAATTCCCAGGTACAACTTCCTGAGCTGCTGGCTCTGTCCCCAGTGTGGGTCCGGTACAAACTGTGCATTGACAGCACCTCAGCCCCCCCCAGGACCCCCATTTATAGGGATGGGTACGGATCCACCCCGGATCGAGCAGCTGGCAGGGCACACACAGTTCAGGGGCATCCAGTTCTCCATTCCCTGGAGCTGGCAGGACCCAGGCTGGGCCCTGGGTGGTTTTCCAACAGCTGTGCTCCTCAGGGCTTGGTTTTCATTGGAGAAATGGTTTTTTTGTGTTTTTTTTTTTTTTAAGGACTAAAAAAAACTATGTTGTAAAACATGCGTTGTGCTGAGTGAAAGGGAGAGCTGGAGAAGGGGGATGTCCTTGTCCTTGTCCTTATCCTGGTGCATTATTAGGGATATCCCCACCCCCGTGCAGGGAGGGCTGTCCTTGTCCATCCCTATCCCAGTGCGAGGTGTGTGTGAGGTCCATCCCTATCCCAGTGCGAAGTGTACACGGGGTTTATCCCTGTCCCTGTGCGAGGTGTGTGGGTTCCATCCCCATCCCGGTGCCCCCGGTCCGTCCCCCGCCGCGAGCTGCCCCGCGGGGCAGTTCCAGGGCTACGACACCTCCCCAACCCCTCCTCTCCCCACCCTCCTCCGGTCCCGCCCCCTCCCCGTGTCCCCAATCCCGCCCCGATCCCGCCCATCCCGCCGGGAGCCGGAGCGGAGCCGCCGGGGGAGGGAGCGGGGCGGGGCCGGGAGCGGGGTCGGGGTCGGGGCCGGTCCCGGGGGTGGTCCCGGGGGTCCCAGCCATGCTGAGCCGTCTGGGAGCGCTGCTGCAGCAGGCGGTGGAGACGGTGAGGGGGACACGGGGGGGACCGGGAATGGGAACGGAACCGCGACCGGGACCGGGAGGGGTTGTTCCGTGCGCCCCTGACCCCGGCCCCGGTGTGCGCAGCGGGAGCCCAGCGTGGACCTGCTGGAAGCCTTCACCGAGCACTGGAAGGGCATCACCGGCTACTACCTGGAGGCCACAGGTGAGGGGGGTGCGGGGACAGAGTCGCCGTGCCCCGATATGGGGTCACTGTGCCCCGATATGGGGTCCCTGTGCCCCGGGTTGGGGTCCCTGTACCCGGAGTTGGGGTCTCTCTGGTGCAGGAGTCAACTCCCCGTGGTGTGGGAACAGGGGTCTCGTGTCCCGGGAGAGGGTCCCTGTGCCCTGAAATAGGGTCCTGTGCCCTGGGAATAAGGTGCCTGTGCCCTGGGAGGGGACCCCGTGCCCTGGGAGGGGACCCCATGTCTTAGGACAGGACTGTGTGTCCTGGGAGAGGGTCTCTGTGCCCTAAAATAGGGTCCTTGGCCTGGGAATAAGGTTCCCAGGGAGGGGATCCCTGTGTCCTGGGACAGCACCCCGTGTCCTGGGACGGATCCCCGCGCCCTGGGACGGGACCCCGGTGCCCCGTGGCAGACCTGGCACGCGGGGCTTTGCCGTGGGACGCCCGTTCCCATTCCCCGGAAGGATTTCTCCATGCGGGGAGCTCTGCCCTGCCCGGCCCCAACCCCCGGCGCCCCAGCGGGGTCAGCACGGGGGAGGGGGTTCGGGTGGGTGCGGACACTCCCGGGAGCGCCGGACAGGCTGGGACACGTCCCCGCCGGGAACGCGCCGCTCCCCGGGAGCGCTAAAACAGGGCCTGCAGAGGCTTCAACCCCGATTCCCAGCGGGATCTTGGTCCTTCCCGCTGTGCTGGGGATGGGGGGGGTCTCCAGGGCTGGCAGTGCCCACCGGGAGAACGGGCAGCGGGATGTCCGGCACCTTCCTAGGCCGGGAGCGGAAGGAGCAGCTGCCGGCTCTCCATCCTCACATTGCCATCTAGCGTCATTCCCAGCCCGGGAGGAGCGGGATTCCGGGCCGGCGAGGATCGGGGAGCCGCTGGAGAGAGTCCCAGCCGGGCATCGCTCCCTGGGAGCGGGGCGGGGGGGGACGCGCCGCAGCCCCCCATCCCTGTATCCACAGACGAGAGCATCCCGGCCAGGCAGACGGACATTCCCTGGCGCCTCAAGCAGATGTTGGATATCCTGGTGTACGAGGAGAAGCAGCAGCCGGCGGGGGAGACGGGGCCGTGCCTCGAGTACCTGCTCCAGCACAAGCTCCTGGAGACACTGGGCACGCTGGGAAAGGCCGAGGTGGGTGTCCCAGCACCGGGAAAACGGCTCCAAGGGGGAAGGAGCCCCCCCAAAGCTGGAGCATCCGCAGTCTTTTCCAGCTCCTTGATGTGGTGCCACTCAGTAATTTTGATTTTTGAGCGTTTTTGCTGGAAGCGGGACTTTGTGAAGCGTGAGACGGTCAGGGGGCTTGGCTTTTTTGGGGGGAAAACTCGGCTTTTTTCAGAGGGTCTTGGATTCCTCAATTTAAGATCCTCATTGGGATCCTTTCTGGGGCTCCTCTGAATGGCTCTTGCACCCCATCTCATCCCTGTGTGCATAGAAAGGGGTGGCACATCACTGCTTGGCTTTGTGGGATGAGGAGGGTTTGGAAAAGTAAATATTGCCCAAATATAACAGCTCTGCTGCTCCTTTATTGCTAATAATAATGGGGCCCCTATAAATAGATTTTTATTCAGGTGTAAGTGTGGTGTGGGCTGTGGAAACGTGCTGGCCCCTCTGTGACTGTGAGGATTCGGGGTTTTGGGGTGCTGGGGTTTAACTCCCCATCGCTGGGAAAAGGAGAAATAATCCCCCAATAATTTTTCAGTGCAGAGAACTGAGTTAAATCCGTCATTGTTAAAGGGAGCCCAGGGAAGGTGGGATGTGCTGGGGAGGGGGTCCGTGCATCGTTTTGGGGCACCCCCCTGGGTGAGCCAGCGGGCGATTTGGGGCAGTTATGGGGAAATCAGGTAACTGGGCTCTGTCTGATTCCTCCCCACGTCTCATTCCCAGTATCCCCCCGGGATGAGGCAGCAGGTCCTGCTGTTCTTCAGCCGGGTGCTGGGGCAGGTCCAGCACCCACTCCTGCACTACCTCAACGTGCACAGGCCGGTGCAGGTGAGATCCCATCCCCGGGCTGGCTGCATCCCTGCCAACCACCCCCTGGGAAGCCGTGCCCATGGAGAAGGGGTGGGAGAGCCCCCAGAATTCCCACATCCCTCTCTCCCTGCCTCCCCAGAAGCTGCTCCAGCTCAGCAGCGGCCGCCTGGGCTCGGGCACGGAGAAGGAGGAGGTGCAGTTCGCCGCCGTCCTCTGCTCCAAGATCCAGCAGGATCCTAGCCTGCTGCCCTATATCCTGGAGGTGAGCAGCTCCCCTGTGCCAGTGGGACAATTTGGGGTCCCCTCACTGAGCTGCAAAGCTTGGGTGAGGAGGAGGAGGAGGAGGAGGAGGAGGAGGAAGGTGGTGGCTCCTTCGCTGCTCCTCTTCCTCTCCAGGGAAAGAGCGTCCTGAACGGGAGGAGATCCCAGGAGCTGCCGGACAGCCCCAGGGAAGAGGGTGTGGAGCATCCCCCGGGCACCACTGCCAGCTGCCCCCCGGCCCAGCCCTGCCCACCACAGAGGGACAGCAACCTCGTCACCGCCCTGGTGGGGCTGTGCAGGAGCAAGGTATGCACAAACAGGGGTGGCAGGAGGGGACAGTGGGCACTGCCAGCCATGTGACGACCCCTCTCTCCTCCTCCTCTTCCTCGCAGAAGAGCCGTGTGGCGCTGAAGGCTCGGGAGAACCTGCTGGTGCTGGCGGGGCTGGCCCAGGAGGCGGCTGCCGCCTGCCTGGTGAGGAGCAGCGCCCTGTGCCCGCTGCTCACCGGGCACCTCTGCGAGCTCTACAGCGCTGTGCCCCCTGGCACCGACCCCGCCGATGTCCTGGCCATGGACAGGCCCAGCTGGAGGTGAGGAGGGGGCGCTGGGAAGGGGAGCTCGGGCGTCACCAGGGTTTTGTCACAGCCTCCCCCGTGTCCCCCATCCCGCGCAGGTCGCAGGGGGACGCTGCCGGTGACGGGGTTTTCCCGGGGAAGGAGAGCCTGGCTGCCTTCCTGTGCTGGCTGGACTACCTGGATGAGCTGGTGATGGGAGCCCACCCGGTGAGAATCAGAGGATCACGGAGTCGGTCAGCTTGGAAAAGACCTCTGAGGTCACCAAGTCCAACCTGTGACGTGCCACCACCTTGTCCCCCAGCCCAGGGCACCGAGTGCCACGTCCAGTCATTCCTCGGGCACCTCCAGGGGTGGGCACCCCACCACCTCCTTGGGCAGCCCCTTCCAATGTCCAATCACCCTTTCTGTGAAGAAATTCTTCCCAATGTCCGACCTAAACCTCCCCTGGCGCAGCTCGAGGCTGTGCCCTCTCATCCTGGGGGGGTTCCCAAGCCCATCCTCTCCCTCTCCCCCAGCTCGTGGCCGAGGCCATCACCGAGGCCGTGGAGGAGAAGTTTTTCCAGGGCGTCCTGCAGCCACAGCTCCTGCAGATGTGAGTGCCTGAGGCTGTTCCGCTCTCCGGGACCCCTTCGGAGCCAGGAAACGGGGCTTCCTTTCCCCTGGACCCCCCCCTCACAGCTTCCCACCCCTCTGGCAGGTCGGAGCTCGCCGTCCTGGGCGCCACGGCCGTGCTGGCGGGGACGGTGCGGCAGATCCGCGCCCCTGCCCTGCTCCAGCGCCTCGTGCTCTTCCTGCTGGGGCCCCACCGGCACCCCGAGACCCCCGGGGACGCCCCCCACGCCCTGCGAGCGCAGCTCATCGACCGCTGCGATCACCTCTCCGACGAGGTGAGCCCCGCCGGGGTTGGGAGGGGGGAGGATGAGGAGGGGGCGGCGCCGGGGGAGGATCTCACCCCCGGGGGAGGGTCTCACCCCCGGGGGAGGGTCTCACCCCATCCCGCCCTGCCCAGATCAGCCTGGCCAGCCTGCGGCTCTTCGAGGAGCTCCTGAGGAAGCCCCACGAGCACGTGGCTCACAACCTGGT